AGTTAGTGCATCAGAGAAACACAAGAAGAAGAGCTGCTGTGCTGAAGCCTCAAATTTTTGGCATGTCTAGAACAGCGGTTCTCAATTCCAGTCATCGCGTACCCCTGCTCTGCACATTTCGTATGTTTCTCTTATTGCCTCATACGTTTGCTATATTTGACTGTAAGTGCCCTGCGAAGTGGACATTACCGGATATTCCTCCATGATTCCAGTTTGAAGGGAGCGTATATGTTCCATACAAATGGCATTTAAGTGTGCGAGACGTGAATTTAAATTGTATTTATTTACAGAGGTATATTATGTCCCACTTCACGCTTCTCTAGTAAGTTTCGTTTGTGTGTGAAGACGCTGCAGGCAGCGGCGCAGCACAAATCTGTAAATGAATATTCCGAAGTGACGTAAACTTCAACGGATTTCCCCTGCTCAGGGAGTAGGGAGCAATGGACACTGTGTAGGGACCATGCCAATCGGAACACAGTTCATGCACGGAGCTCACTTCTAATGAGATGATCTGAATCAGGTGTGTTAACAAAGAGAGACGTGCAAAAGGGTACGCGAGGACTGGGCTTGAGAACCGCTGGTCTAGGACAATTCTTACAACTACAACACGACATAGCTGGATGCCGCGGACAGACCCCGAACGGCGCCGCCGGTGTGCCTACACTCATAGAAAATAAAGTATTTGAATTTTAAAGCCTTGGCAACGCTGCGCTTCTCGTCCGGTGTGTGACCGCCTGAAACGCTGTTTAATAATGTAAATTATGTGAAAAATAACGTTTTTCGAACCACCAAGCATGAGAGCATGTTCTAGTACACCCCCAAAACAAAATCAAGACTTTGTAAAAGAGCATAATAGGACCCCTTTAAATACTTATTTTAGTTTCAGTATAGTATTTCCACTTAAACTTATTTCTGTTAGTTCAGTTACTTTTCACTTAAGTTTTCATCTAATATTTTTATTTTTATTTTTAAGCTTTATTTGATTTACTGAAAATGTTTTGATAGCTTTAGTTTTAGTTAACAATAACAACACTGGAAAATAAACACTGCTGTGAAAGCATACATAATGTGGATTTTTACATAACATGAAGTGTTTGTACTACATGTTGCTCTGCAATTCCCTACCATTGTGTGATACTTGAAGAAAACGATACATCTCTTATGCTCTTCTCATGCTGTGTGTGCATCTTTTGGGTTTTGGCTCCAACAGGGTTAAAAATAGCTCCCCTCGTAGTCACTTATTATTTAAGAGTCTCCTCCTCCTGTCCCTTTCCACCACACTCTTCCCATCCCTCATCCCAGAATGTGGAGTTTCCTCAAGAAAGGACACACTGGGATGATAAGGGACTGATGTAAAAAAGTAATTTACATCTTACATATAGCAGCATGGTTGAACCAAACAGGAAGTGCAGGAAAGAAAATTTTTATTTTGAGACAGGTTTGAGGACTCTGGCTGTGTCGAGATGCTGTGGAGGAGATATGGGAGAATCTGGTGATGTCTAGGCGATAGTGGGGTGGGTGAGCTTCATTTTGTGCTCAGAATATCCTTTCTCTCTCACACACATACAGGATGACAGTTCAGTAAGCAGTGAGGATTTGGACATGGCTGAGCCCGCGTGGGTCTCTACTGAGCGTGCTCCAGCTGTAGAGCCTTGCAGCCCCACCGCCCCATACACAGAGAAGATGCCTACACCCCCACAGCCCAGCATTAAAGAGGAAGAAGGTACGATGTCTCTCTCTCACTCACACTGTGTTTATGTAGCTGTACATTTCATTGAAATAACAGCCACCTTTTACTGATGTTTGTCAGCATTTATCAGTGAAGACTTTGTGCTGGTGTCTGATAAGTCTGATAAGTGTCTACTAAAGCTGAAGTTGAAGAGGTGCCTGAAGGCCCTTTTCCCAGCACTCCAGCCTCTCTCGCTCTCTTCCATTACGCTCTGACAGATGCCATGCCGACAGCCTTATTTTTTCATTTTGGTCTGTATGTGAAAATCTTCAATGTGAAGTTCTATAATGTATGCCATTCTCAATTGTCTGGGCTTCTGTGATTGATAGATAGATAGACAGATGGATGAATGAATGGATGCATAGATAGTCAGATAGTTAGTAAAATGGATAGATTGATAGACAGTTATACATATATATCGATAGACGGACGGACGGACAGATAGATAGAAATATAGACACGGATGATAGATAGATAGATAGATAAGCTACACAAAAATCAGAGTAAACATTATAGACAAAAGTTAAGGATATATTCAATTGATCAAACTGTGACAAATTTAAGAATCTATTCTATTCTCAATCTGAATCATATCTATGTAATATTATATCTTCTTTATCATCAATGTCATTGTTCATGTAACCAAAACAAGTCTACAAATTCTAATCCATATCTATAGATAATATAGCAATTGTTATAAATAATATATCAATCTCTAAAACAGAATGTACACAATAATCTTTGGCCAAGGCTCCCATATTTCCAGATGAGGATAAACAACTGCAAGGCTTCAGGGTGGTTGACCCTGCCCCCTGTTTTGAATTGAACACATTTCCACCTTTTCAGCAGCATTCACTCCCTCTGTCTTGTCTCTAATTCAGCTGAGTGCAGGGGGGCTGGGGTGGTATATGAATGGGGCAGGAGAGTAGAATATGGAGGAGGGACATGGGGGACATGGAGATGTTTTTTAAAATGGCTGCTGGGACAGTCAAGGGTCTTATTGGGTGGTAGAGAGGGAGGAAGCAGCCTGGGTCACTTCTTTGTGGGCTAATCCTGTGTAATCTTGTTCTGAGGGGGCTGCAGGGAACAGCTCTGCTACACACAGCGTCCCCGCTTACTCCATCATAAGGACAGAGAAAGTGCTCGTGCTCAGTGCACCTTACCCTTGACGGACAGCTGTAGAGGCCCCTCTGGGAATTATCCTAAAGAGGGATAATAGTATTTTAGGAAGGGCGGTCAAAGCTGTGATCATAAAGGTTACCCCTCTACTTGACATTGTAAGCTTGCCTGGTTTAAGCATGTTCGACTTATCGCTGTCTTAGAATCAAAGTAAAAATACTGCTTGTGACTGCACTTTGTCCATATGTATTAGCTTTGAGGTAATCTACACTGTGGTTCAAAAGTTTTTTTTATTTCTGAAAGAAATTACTACTTTTATTCAGCAAGGATGCAACCATTTGTATTTCAAATAAATGCTGTTTTGAACTTTCTATGCATCAAATTATCCTGAAAAAAATATATCACAGTTTCCACAAAAATATTAGGTCACACAAGCATTTTAACTGCGATAATTGTTTTTTTTAAGTACCAACTCTGAATATATGAATGATTTCTGAAAGATCATGTGACAGTGAAGACAGGAGTAATGGTTAAATTCAGCTTTGCCATCACTAAACTCCTATTTAAAATATACTTAAACATTATATATATAATGTTTAAATATTAAACATTAATATTTTTGGCTATTTTGTAGCAATAGCCAAAAATACATTGTATGGGTCAAAATTATAGATTTTTCTTTTATGCCAAAAATCATTAGGACATTAAGTAAAGATCATGTTCCATGAATATATTTTGTGAATTTTTTATTAGTAATATGCATTGCTAAGAACTTCATTTGGACAACTTTAAAGGCGAATTTCTCAATATTTAGATTTTTTTGCACCCTCAGATTCCAGATTTTCAAATAGCTGTATTTCGGTCAAATATTGACCTATACTAACAAACCATACATCAATGGAAAGCTTATTTATTCAGCTTTGATTATGTATAAATCTCCATTTTGAAAAATTGACTCTTATGACTGGTTTTGTGGTCCAGGGTTAGTTTACTTATTCATTTTTATAAAACACACTTTTAACAGATTTACACATATAAGGTAGGTAGGTTTCTCTCCATGAAATGGGAAAAAAATTTTGATTAATCCTTTACTACACAGATTTTTGTCCAGTCTGATACTCACAGGGTCATCCAGGTTCTTTTTTTCCTTACTGTTTATTAATACTGTGAGTTCAGACATACATTTTTCACCTACTGTTCTTCGCCTACGATATAGTAGCAAAGGATGAATATTTGGATGCAACTTATGATGTGGACCTGTGATATGTCCCTTCCAAACTTCCTGTTTCAATAGGAAATGTCAACAGGTTAAAAAAATGTCCCATTCAAGCAATGCCATGGGGTCTTTGCTAACAACTATTTATTTTCCCTATTTAATGAGTATTTGACCCATGAAAACACTATTTAGGTGGAGCAAACAGATACAGACGGTCTGGGACTGGTTTATTAATTTGATATAGCTTTTATTCCTGCCATTATCATGTATGTTCTCTCACAGACACAGTTTTGTAGGTTTCCAGAATTGCCTTGTTTACTCAAATCTGCTTTGTAATTTCAGTATCTGCACTGTCTGGTGTGGTTGTTATGGGATGTGTTTATGATCCACTGCTTGTGTTTTGCGAAATAATAAGGCTTTCCCACCATCCTGTACTTTATATAAATGTAACCATGCACTAATGGATCCCTCCCTTGACTCCCTTGACAGACTAGTGTGCTATTTAGAGCCACACAGGGCAAGAGGATGATGATTTAACCCACACTCCACCATCAGAGAGGAGCCATTCCTTTTGTTGTTTGTCATTAGTTCCTGACGTACTATATTGTTAATTTAGACCAATTTCTTTGTTCACACAGTGTCTGTCAGTGTCTCATTGGATAGCTAATAAATAGCCTAAAATATGACTAAATTAAAATGGCTACAATAATGAAAGAAATTTAAAAGGCCATATCGAAATAGTTCCTTTAAGTAAAAATTTAATGTTTCTGCTTTTTACAGTGTCAATTTAAGATTCAAGTTTTAGAGAATGAATGTTGAATTAAATGCATTTTTATTCATTAACTATGAATTATAAATTATTTTTTCTTGTTTTAAGAGTCTAACACAATTTAGTTTATGCTTACAATATACATACAATATATATATATATATATATATATATGTGTGTGTGTGTATATATATATATATTACATTTGCTAATGACGTAAGAAAACATATCAGTTTCCACAAACATATACAGCACAATAATTATTTGAAATTGTAATAGTATTTATGGTTTACTGTATTTTTGATCAAATAAATTATTTTTAATCTTTCCACCTTCCCCCTCTGAGCTCTGTTTTTCCGTATACTTCTTGTCCAGTCAGATATTCTGGCAGAACCCCACACCCATCTCATTCGCCTCATCCTAGCTGTCTCTCTCTTCACCTCTGCCGCCTTCTACTGGTTTGACAGTTGACCCCAATGTTGCTCTCCTGTTCACACAATCTCCTTCCTCCAATTGACACACATACAGCTAGACTCCACATCCACATAACTTTATGAACACTCACTGAAACATTTCTGTCTCTCTCTCTCTCAGATGATTCTTCTTCAGAGAATGGCAGCACAGCTAACGGTCTCCCTGCACTGACTCCGCTTAGTGGTGCTGCCATGGCGACAGGAGGAGTTCCTGCATCTGAGGGGGTGGTTCCATATGGAGAGGTGAACAGTAATGGTGCCACAGCGCCCCTGGACTTCAGCAACAATTCATCGTCCTCTTCCTCACAGGAGGGACAGCAGCCTGTCAACCTAAGCGACAGACTGTTGCCCGGGGTGACGCTCGGATCCTACGTAACTGACCCCAACAGAAAATTCCCTGTCAAAACTGACTACGGTAACAAGGTATGAGACTAAATTTTTCCACATCATTCTAAGAATTTGTATATATTAAAATGTAAAGTAATAGTATGCATAATGCTGTTCAGATAGAATCAGATTAGGTTTTGACATACTGTATGTTGTACAGTCCCCTCAGTACAGCTCAGGAAGCTATGACTCTGTGAAGACGGAACTGAGCACGTGCGGGGAGGACATGACCCCGGGTCGCTCTCAGGTCATAGATGATGACGACGATGATCACGATGACCATGATGACAGCGACAAGATAAATGACGCTGAGGGCCTGGACCCTGAACGACTTAAAGCTTTTAATGTGAGACTGACTCCCTTAACCACTTTATCGCTCATATTTCATATGGTGTACATTAGATTTTGTTAAGCTTCAATGACCTACATTGCTTATGTTTGGAGGTAGTGAAGTCCAAAAGTCTGACACCACATTTGATAGTCTGGGATTTAAAAACAGTCTAATCCTTTTAAAAATGTAAAGCAAAGAAATGTAAATTATGTAAAATGGATAAGAAATATTCATTCATTTTGAGCTATTCTTAATCATGCTGGATTTGGAATCTTAATCGTGCTTAATCATTTAGTGGATCAGGACTAAAGCTACAACTATTTAAAACAGTTTTGTTAATTGAAATACTAACTGGAAATAAACCAAAACTGAAATAAAACTAATTTAAACCTAAATAGTAATATATATATTTTTTTTAAACTAAAAAGATGAAAAATGTATGACAAAATCACAAAAAAATTTAAGTAAAATTAAATAACACTAAAATAATACTAGTCTGAATAATATGATAATCAGGTTTTACACAGACTTGTTCATGCAGCTTGACAATGCAAGTACGAAGACATAATGAAATTCATATTGATTTTTCAATTTCCACCTTTCTCTCAAATTGTTATGCTGGTAATATAAATTACAATGAGGAACAACTAATTTGAATAAAAATAGAAGCATTTCAGTGACCTGCTGAACCCTAATGATTATGTAAAAGCAGATGTTTATCCTGTTACATTTCTCTACCACCTTCATGTTTACATCTTCCTGACAATTTTTCTTTTCTCATTGAATATGTTTTATTGAAACATCAGATTAAATTAAAGTGATTACAAATATAGTCTTCCTTTTCTGATTCATTGGTATATCTTCCATCCTTTTCTGTTTCCTTTTTGGACTGCTCTAATATTTCTTTCTGTTTTCAGATGTTTGTGCGGTTGTTTGTGGATGAGAACTTAGACCGGATGGTTCCAATCTCAAAGCAGCCCAAAGAGAAAATCCAGGCCATCATTGAGTCCTGCAGCCGCCAGTTCCCAGAGTTCCAAGAACGCGCTCGCAAACGAATCCGAACCTACCTCAAATCCTGTCGCCGCATGAAGAAGGGTGGCTTTGAGGTAGGGAAACATGGGCATTTGCACATGTACTGACAAACAAACATGCACATCTGCCATAATTATCTGTGCTATGACAGTACCACAGACATTCCGAAATGTTTAACATGAAATTAAAGCTTGAACATTTTCGTGCTACACACCATTCAATAGCATACTACTGCCCTCTAGTGGCTGATAAGTTCACAGGCAGTCATTTTTAACCTTGGTACTTGAGGACCACAGCACTGAACATTATTATTTACCAAACCTGATTCAACTCATATGCTCCATGACCTGAACTCACAGAAAAAAAAAGGCACAAAACTGTCAGTGGGGCAGAACCCTTTCAAAAGACTTTTGGTACTAATTGGTACTTTTAAAGTATAAATGTACCTTTATGTTTCTTAAAAAAAAAAAATCAAATTTTGCAGTGGAGCTTTTCAGAACATGTTTTTAATAATCATAAACCAGGAGCATGCATGGTTATACTGTTATTTTACACTTTTTTAAATTATATCTTGTTAATGCTTTAATAGAATATTCATTTGAATGTGTTCAGTTCCAGAGAAAGGCTAAAATAATACAGATTTTTTTTTTTTATATCACACCTACATCCATTGGTGACAGTTTAAATTATAATATTGGTTAAAAACACCATCCTACAAGATTAGGACATTGTAAAAAAAATTCATAAGGTGATGACATTTACCTTTTTCTGCCCTGTCCGATGGTGTCAGACACGGCCCACACCCCCTCACCTCACCTCCGCCATGGCTGAGAACATCCTTGCAGCAGCATGTGAGAGCGAAACACGGAATGCTGCTAAGAGGATGCGACTTGACATCTATCAGACCCATGTGAGTGCATGTGCGATCTCTAGATCTTTAATCAGATCGAATTCATTCCAGAAAATGTTGATTGGTTTTTAGATTACTTGGTGAGATATCGTTGTCTTTCTTTGCCTTATCGTATCCCTTCGTCCTTCCATTTGGTCCGTACAGGATGAGTCAGTTGCAGCAGACAAGCCTAACTCCAGAGACCCGGCTGCTCTGGCTCACTCAGGCTTCACACTGGCCGCCTCGGCCTACTCCCAGGACCAACTCTACACCAATGGTGGACTTAATTACAGTTTCCGTGGATACGGGACCATTGGCAACAGCCTCCAAAACAGTGGCACATCACAAACCAATGGTGAGTGAAATTCAATATAATTTTTTTTACTATTTATTCAAAACAATGTTTACTAAAATGAGAAATAATTCATTTCAATTTCATTTGTTTGTTTATTTTAAAAGCTCTATTAACAAGTTAATTTTTAATTAGAAAAAAGTGTCAAGAATCATTACATTTCACTGATATTGCTATTGAAACTGGTATTGTAGTCTTTTCTATATATCTACTAGATGTTTATTTTATGTAAATGTCTCTTTCTTTCTTTTCTTTTCTTTTTTTTAGGTCCCACTGATCTCAGTATGAAATCTTTGGCATCCAACAGCACTTCCTCCTCCAGTTCAAACAGTCATGGTCAGGGTGGAGGAGGCGGAGGGGCATCTGCCCAGCTCAGCCTGCCCGAGGTCACGGCGGTTCGGCAACTGATTGCAGGCTACCGTGAGTCTGCGGCCTTCCTGCTCCGCTCTGCTGACGAGCTCGAGAACCTCATACTGCAGCAGAACTGAGGACTGCACACAGGCTGGTGCTGCCCGCCTCTCTCTCATTAACACACCTACACAAAAATGCACACTATGACTGGAAAGATACATGTAGCTATGTGCACTTACGTACATATACACCTAAAGCCCATAGGCGGAGTTTGACTTCACTTGGGGGGAGCGAAATGGGGGGATCAGAAGTATCTGAATCTGAAGCGCATGTACAGGGTACAAAATTGAGAGCATTTACCAGCCGTAATGATCTCAGGTCAACCGGCCATAAACCTGTATTTTGCATAATTTATTTATTTTTTTAATAAAAATTTATTTATTATTATTATTGCATATTTTCAGTAAACAGCGCAGGTCATTGTTTCACTCGCTGCACCATACATTTGCTAATTTCTATATAAAACGCTACCTCTCATAAAAATAAAAAAAACACCTTAGATAAAAACACTGAGGTCTTTCTTGCAGTGTAACCATGAATAACTGGTAACTTAATTTGGAACAGCAACATAATACATGTTTTTTTATTTCAATATTTACTACAGTTTATTACTGTAATAAAATGTTAAAATAAAAACCATGTATTATGTTGCCATTTCAAATAAAGTTACCTGCCAAAAGAACGTATTCATATATTTATTAATATAATTTTATTTGTAGATTTACACAAGCAAAGATAAAACCGTTTCAGCTCCAGACACTCGAATCCCTTGACACCCCCCAAGCTCTGCCTATGTTCTTTCTATAAACCTACCTATCACACTTTGCTCAAGACAGCTTTATGTCCATGATAGTGTCTTTATCAAATATCCTTACATTAGAGTCCAGCGAGGCTTTTTCCTTTTCGGAGGGCTGAGATGGTTAATTGTTGTTTTATGATAAGATTATCAGAGACCACAAAGCAAGAGGTGTCTGTACTCACAGCAGCATATCACACAGTGAGAGCTATCAATCCACCGCAGAGAGTCCAGACCTTTGAGACATGTCATCTGCTGCCTGAAGTTTATGCTATGGCACAAAATATTAGTATCAGATTAGATTTCTGTATGTCAGTGGCATCTTGTTTTATTGTATTTGAAAAGCTCAGATGTTTAAGTTGTTCTGTTACCATAGACATATCCATGCAGCAGCTTTGCTCCAGATTTAGCCATTTTAGATATAGAACAGATTCAAGAGAAAAAGGGTTTTTGTAAGATCTCTCTTCTTCTGTTCAATGCTAATGAGGTTTGGGGAGAAGGTGCAATGTAGATGATAATCGTTATAGTGTGTCAGTGTCTGAAAATGTATCATTTTCAATCATAAACACATTACCAGATATCTTTTGTACATATATATATTCCTCATTCATATATAAGAGTTTTCATCCTAGCTTACACATGCACATTTAAAAAGAAACCGTGATTAGTGAGCACAAAAAAAGAAGATGCTGAAATTCTATTGGCTGGGAATGTTGGACATTATGCAAATGAAGCTGTGCTGAGTGGAATGCTTCGAAGCCTTTCCTACATGCTCAATTGCGTTGGCAAACTTCCATCCTCAGTACATCAGTGCATTGTAGGAAAATGTCTCACAGGAACATAAGTGACATCAACCTCCCAGAAGGGAGGGCCATAGATGGACTTGTTAAAGGGGGGGGGGGGGGGGGGGGAG